TAATTACTATTATTGTTATATTGATTCTTTATTCAGTATACTCACATATTGTCAATACAAATAGAAACCGTCGAATTATAATATATTGATAAACCGGATGTGCTTGAAATGTGAGTTTTCCTAACTTGAGGTTTTACTAAATTTTTCAATTCATATTTATACGTTTTATTGTAATATATAATACCAATTGTACTCGACACGAAATTAAAATAATTTCTAAATTATTGTTTAGATTTAAAATTGTAAAGTTTTGGATAATTACGGTTAATTTTAAAAGTGTGTTTCGCTGTGCGCAACAATTAAGGCAGTAACTTGAAAAATTCAATTTTAAGATTATGAGGTATTACTTTTCTTATAAAAATTTTCATCGAAATATCGAAAATTGATTGGAATCGGAATTGAACTACTTCAAAAATGTATAAACACATAGCGTGTAATCAGAGAGTAAATTTTATATTTGATTTCCTGAAAAATGTGGACAAGTGATATAATACCTTGCACATATATCGATATGTATTTAATTGATGTATAACATCAAACTTTTCTCTCGACAATTTTTTAAATAATTCACACATAATGTTTAAGCTTCTGTTACTATATTTATACTCTATACATCATGTCCACGTATTCAACATAACATTTAATGAATATATTGTATGTACAGAGGGTGACTGGGACGGCAGAAACCACAAACACGTGCCAAATAACAATAAGACTTTATTGAAGTTATTTTCACTTGCAGATTTCAATAGTGATATCGCAACATAATCGTAGAGGAAGACCAAAGTAAATAAATATTTCTAGCACCCTTCTATAAGAGCCGATAGTGTTATCACACACAATTCACGATATATTTTGAAGATCAGATTATAACGGAAGTGTTCTGTGTCTTACAACTAAGGAAAATATCATAACAAAATAAAATGGAATTATTTATCGAAAAGTAATTACTATTAGTTTCAATAATTTTCTGCTTTAAAAACAACTAATATTTTGACTTTAAAATTGAATTAATCGTTAATTAAGGAAACTTCCTGAAGCAGACTACATTTTGAACATGAATTAGACAAAAGTTGAATCTTATTAGGCAGAAAATTGAAATAACAAGTTAAAATATTTAGGTAACAAATGTATTGGATTACCAACACAAAATATGTGTTGTACGCTCATGAAATTCCAAAAAATATTAATATCCGACAAACTTCTTCTGACTTGGAAAGAGTTATTATGAACTTACATAAGGTCAGTATATAAATATGAAACTTAAAACTTCATTAGGAAGATAAATAAAATTTTTAAGAAATATTTTTGAGATGTGAATATTTAGAGAATTATGGAGATAACCGTAAAATACGGTTATACTGAATTGCACCAAAATAAAAATATCTTATACAGTATTTTTAGTGTTCAAGTGATAATTTTTCGAGCATAAAATACTTAGACATAGCGTGTAGTTTGCATTAACATATTATAGACTCTACACGTTTCTTTTAGGACTTTTCTTTAGGTGTAATGTTACACTTAGGGTACAAAAGTACTCTATTTTCGGCACCACAGATATGAAAAAAATAAATTGTTAACAAATTTAAAGTAGTGAGATATTAACGTACTCTGAGTTATGTTTAGCAGTAAAAATTTCAATGGTTTATTTGATGTGATTTTTTTTAACTAATAAAAATATGCAGATGTTTGTATCAAGTAACTCTAATTGCTTGTGCAATCATAACAAAATTTAATTCATGGTTTTGTATTTCTTAGTGAAGATTGTAAGTGTCAGTGTTTTTATTATGTCTTCCTTTTTGAAACACTTCAGCCTTTTAGGAAATCTGGTCAAGCGTATCCATACACCGGTCTTCTTAGTCTATATACTACAGGATGGTGTAGGTTTTAATGGTACGTGGAATTGGAATGTTTTGAAAACGGTAGAGCGATTTTTGATGGGATCCGTCTGTTGCTGCAGGAGACAGCGCGAGGAAATCCCTTGTATTTTTCCGGGCCAGTTGGCTAATTCCCTATTTGAGCGCGCCTTTTCTTTTCTGTTTTCCCTACTTTTATGCCGATCCGGGAGTTTTCCAAATAGAGACAAGGGGCGGACGCATCGCCCTCGTTTATGACTCGCGCCGACGTGTTTGTATGCGGGTCAAACGTGGCAGCGTTTTAATCTCTCCCAACAGAGGCGGTAGTTTCAAAGCGCGTTATATTTACACTACCCTTTTTCCTAAATGTATTCCTATCATTTTGATTTTCATTTTTGTTGACAAAAACAATACGCGGCATACATAAAAAATAATGTTTGAATGAATTTCATTAGTTTAACTCTTCAAAAAAATAAAAATGAAATTTGATAAACATATTTTATTTCATTGCGAAGTCTCAACTTTATATGAAATATAAATTTGAATATTATGATGACACCAAAAGGGTAAAAAAAATAGATTTATTCGATGATAGTATCTCTTACTGTCATATAAAGCGGTTCTAATAAAAACATGCTCACGCATAAATTAGTATGGTTAACGGCTTAAAAAATGGAAAATCAATGAGTTTAATGACGTGTTTGTAATTAGATAAATGCAAAGTAAAAAATGATCGATTATAACAGAAATTTGTGCTTTATTTAGTTACTTTTAAATTTGAAGTAATTGTAACGATAATAATGATCAATAATAATTATAATTTCTGTTGAAGAGTAATTTATTAACGCCTTATATAGACGGATATACGAATGTGTCAGAGAGTATTTACACATCCACAGATTTGTGCAATTTTATATATTTTTTAAGCTGGCGAGCTAAAAAAAAAAGTCATCAAAATTGTTTAAAACTTTTAGTGGCCTCTTGTGAATTTATATTAATTTTAGCACCCTTAACATTTTGATTGAGTATGCGCCTATGGTATGCTGTGTAAGTGTAAGAAAAAAAGTTTTCCTTGTGTTAAAAATGCTTTCCCCTAATAATAGGTTAATCATGCGTGTATATACATTTTGATATATTTATGTGTGTGTTTATATGATAGTAGTTGAGAAAAAGAAAGGAGAGGGCGAGCACGTAGTCAGGAAATTAATCCGATTCTTCATTGTATGCGATTATGTTGTAATGAAAAAAAGAACACGACGGTCTCTATTGAGAAGTCCCTTTAGTTTTGATGTAATTTTGTAGAGCTATTCAAAATCGGCTTCTATTTTAGTTCTGAGTAGAACCCAATAAACGATGTATGTTTGTCTGTCCGGTAATTGTGAACTACACACTAGGGTTTTGCTTGGGGTCGTTTTCGACAATAATATTTTACCCTCATTGAGTTTTAGTTGTTGTTATTTTTTAACTTAGTAGTATTTGTGCCCTCTCTTTTCATTACACCATAATAACACCATATTTATGTATACACCATACACAAAGGTGTTGGTGAAGTTAAATAAAAAATTAGTATTTTGAAATAACAGTATTGGCATTTTAATTCTAAGCTTCATTTTTTTCTATTTAGCAGACAAAAATGATTTAATTTAACTGATAGTCATTGAATTATTTGTAACTTTTGACATTTTGGATGATTACAATAATTGAATTTAAATCAAAACGCCAATGCCAGTTTTTATAAAACATTTTAGTATCGTGCAAAGATATTTTTAGCAGCTATTAAAATAAATTGAAAACAAAATTTTGTTTTTAATTTTGTATGGTTTTTCTGAGAATCATACTATATAATATATAGTTTTTTCATTATAATTTATATTATATTATAATATAAATTATACTGAAAAAACTTAGCACAGCGTGATTGCGGCATAATTGGGATAAGTATATATGATTGATGACAGTGATTAACATCATTATCATAAAAAAAAGTTCTATGCGAATTTGTAAAATTTTATAATTCGTATATTTGAAATTTTTCAATTTATATAATTTAATATATTATTTGATAATAAATAATTTTCTTAATTGAAAATAACGTTAAACGTTTGTTTTGACTACTGATTTCTCATAGTAGAAATAACGTCACAACAACATTTTTTTTTTAATGCGGAATTAAAATTCAAAAGCTTTAATTTGATATTTAATAGAAGTTGTCAAACTTTCCGCAAAATTTTTAAAAATTAAGCTAACAAGAAAATGTTTTTATTTTTGGATAGTTTCTTTCAAACTCTTCCTATGCTTAGCGTTTTCATAGGATTTTCAGAAAAAGTATACCAAAAGAAAGCTAATTATATCTTGTATACTTTATGAATATTTAATTTATTTAATTGTTTTTCAACAAAAGTAATAGAAGATTTAAAATGTAGACATTTTTTTTTAATACTATTTTGTACAGTAGCCTAATTTTAAGACATTTTTTTAAATTCCTAAAAATGAAGTGTTTTTTCAACATTTTGGCCTTTATAAGTTCAATTAGATTAAAATCATGTTGTTTTGACGTATTAATCATTAACACTATCATTACACAAATACCTACTTGTTTTGCATCGAGCAAAAAGTGTTAAAATTTAATTTATTTACATAAGAATTCTGCTTTTTTTTTCTATAGCAAAGTAAGTTAGATTGATTGGAAAGCATGTTATTCACAATAAAGTCTACTCTACATTCAACTAAAAAGTGTTATGCGTTTATGTTCTATTTATTATTGCTACAATGATATAAAGTAATGAAATAACGTTCAGAAAAACATAGAAAAATATATATATTTGTTACATTTTATGTAGGATACAAACGTATGATCATTTCGAGGGTGTTTTGAAAGAAATTGCTCATTCGAGTGTTAAACGGCGCCTGTCATACACATCAGTGACATTATCATAAGTAGAGGACTACTTGTCATTGAGACATAAATCCTATACTACAATACACGTCAAAAACAGATTTCCCATGAAAATTTGTAGATTAGAAAAGTGAACTGAATACGTTTTAACAGAATAGTAAAATTTTGAATTTTTATTAGAACTTGTACATTAGTGTGATTTTTATGAACTTGGTTATTTTAATTGGCTTAATAAATAGTAAACTAACCTGTTTTGACTTGGTGTTTTAATGTTGTGCCACAGTCATTAATCAAGTCTTGTAAAGGCACCCCTTTGTCAGGCAAGTCCAAATTTAATAATTTGAACATTTCTTCAGGGTGCTTAAAGTGTAATACTTTTTCTTCTCTGTCGTTGGTATCCTTAATGTAGTCAATCAATATGTCGACGACTTTTAATAAAAACTCCCTGGTAGGAGCCTGACCAGATAGATTATGTGGTAGCAAGTCTAAAAAGATTAATTATTCTTAGAATTTTACATTAATATAATATAACTTAACATAGAATAAATAAAAAATAATTATATGCTATTATTTCAACCAAATTAATATTACTTGATCTTTATATTGTTTAATTATTGAACAGTGATACTAGTGTTATCAACTTTACATTATAAAGTTGATTAATTTGTTGTAAAAACTTTGTTATCTTACTCTGATGGTTTGACTTTTGGTTTATATTGCAATTTGCAATAGGGATCAAACTGAAGACGAAGGGCTCGGATCACGTTGATAATAACAATAACAGTAGAATTTGGAGGGCGAACAAATAAGATGGGACTTGCGGGTTCTAAATCCAATAATCCATGTCATATTTTACCCGGTTTTGAATAGAGCAAAAATCAACCATGTACGCCGGATATTAAATGTGAGACCAGCCGTGAAATAAGAGTCTTTTATCCTCCATTTGTTATGGGATACGTGTGACAAGTTTCTCTCCCTCTTACCAACGTTCACATGACCCTGTTTCTATTATTTTTGTTTGCTAATGAAAGTAAGTAAACGTCATGTAAGGTAAACTTTTCACTTTATAATAAAAAAGTAAAATTGTAATTTTTTCAAGGTATATTTCGTTATTTTTGTATGTTTGAGAAATAATAAAAAGTCAATTAATAATTGTTAGTAAAGTATTTTCACAAGACTTGGAGCATTTCAATATTTTAATTAAATTTATTGATGATTTAATTTAATGAAACTGTATTATATTTTTGGTAGACAGTTAGACAGATAAAATATCAGTCAATCAATTTTATAATTACGATTATAAAATTTAATAATTATTGATATAAATAAAATAAGAATATTATGATAGTCACTGGTATTGATAATTGAATTAGAAGTTTACTTAGAATTTATTCAATCTAACAGTTGAGATATTAACTGACGCAAAAAACACTAGGAATGTTCGAATTATAAAATACAATTTTAATAATTATATAAAACATGTTTATATTTTGTAGCGAGCAAAGAAAAAATTTAATGGAATTATATATTGAACAATTATTGTTATTTTAAATTAGAGCCGGTCAATTATATTTATAGAATAATAATAGGTATTCATCAATCCTTTTCATAGGGAACTTTCCAAACTTTTACCGTTGTTCATAAACAATAAGCCGATGTCAAGTCTATCCCCTCCATTCAACCACCTGAGCCTAATAGCTGAATTAATTAGCCCTGACGGGGTGGTAAGGTTTTATTAATGACCAATCCCTGTTTGTAACGTCAGCTGCAACCAATGGGCCCTCTATGGTTTACTACCGCCCGTAAATGCCACATTTGCGACACGCGTGGACTCCCTTCCCCTCATATATAGTGTTATAAATCACAGCTCGATTGTTTTCTATAGTCTAAATTCTCGCTCCTCTCGCGCAATTTTAAAGTTATAACAGCTTAAAACGTCCATTCTATCACAAAAACTGATGAAAATTTTCTAAACAATTAACGAGATTAAAATTTTTTATTAATTTTCGATTCTTCGCTAAATAATCAGAAATTTTTATGTTAAAGTCAAATTATGTTATAAAGTTGTTTACATTATGTTTTATGTTGTTAAAAAAAAACATAATGTAACGAAATATTTTAAATACATTGGAGATAGAATTTACAAATATGCAAAATGTTCTAAGTAAAAAAATGTTTCCATTAGGTACCATGAATATTACAATTTATGTTTTAATATTTCATTTGTTAAATCTAAAGACATATTTATTTTGCTGTCTTGAGGAAACATAATATTTAAGTTATGTCGTTAACATTTTAGTTTATCGGAGTATTAATATTAAAAGATTTCTATGAAAAAAAAAATAGTTATTTATGTCTAAAAGATTCAAATATTTTGCTCAATGATATAGCTACCGTTTATTCTCTATAAATTCACTACTGTTAAAAAAAAACATTTAACAAAATATTACTCTTTTAAGTCAAAATTCTTAAAGAGAATACACTTATACAGATGAATTGTAACGAAGTTTAAACGCTTTTTTTTGTTACTTGGAAAATTTAAATATCCTCAGTTTGCCTCATTAGTACACACCCGCTCAAGGTTAGGCGATACATTTAAAAATATTGATTTCTATTGGTTAAGATTGAACAATTATGCAAAACAAAATACGATTTTGATGCAAAAAAATACTTAAAATTCAATTTAAATGTATCAAAATAAAGTGTAGTAAATTAAATATTAAACAATTTGGCAATTAATTTTTAAAATATAAACTTCAATGTAATATATGAAATTATTTTTAACGCAACAATATGAGTTTATTCAAATAGAAAGTTATATTAACTTATTTAATTATTGTATTTATTAAGTTTCTAAAAAATAAATTTGCCGCTAAAATTGTATCGTATGTTGTATAAAAAAAGTGTTATTTTTAATATCTTCATCATTTAAAATTATAATTTATTTAATTGAAACCTTCGATTCATAATAAATTATCAGCGTATACATTTTAAGATTTCAGCTTTACAAATTAAATAATTTTAGAAATATTCTTTTTATTTGTAATACTGCTCCGTTCTTAGCGTTGCATGATGAATAAAAATAATTTATAGTGCTCATTTTTTTGAAAACTACATTTTTATTTTAACAAATATTTGGCTACATACCCAAAGGCCATTTCGGTATAAAATATAACTTAATGGAATTTAATTTAAAAAGTTGTTTACATTGTTGTTATAATATGTTTATGTACATTTACGTTATTTTGTTGTATACATAAATAATTGTAAAAGTTAAAAAAATATATAATATACAGAATGATTCTTAGAACACTAGCCATTCAATGTTTTTCAAAATATTAAGCTTTTTGAAAATTTGTTTTTGGGTTTTTGTTAGTTAAACGTATATTTCCATTTATCCGTTATAAAATAATTTTAGGTTCTTCACTTATATCTCTTATATGGCTGTGAACTAAATTTATTTTTAAGACAATTTGTGCGTTAAACTAGCTTATAAAATAGAAAATGATACAATAAAGAAAATAAAGTTAACAGTCCTATAAGATATATGGGTCGGGCCTAAAAATTAAACAGATAAATAAAAATACATACGTATCTCACGAAACCCGAAAAAATAATTTTAAAAAAACCTTATATTTTAAGAGGAATTGTGTGACTAGTGTTAAAACAATCACTCTGTACACCATATTGCTATTTAAATGATTAATTAATAATTGATTTCCCATTTATTTAGTGTTGTGAAATACTAGCGGAGTACGGTAGGCCAGACCACAGTCAGCTTCAACAAAAGTGGAGTGGAGCAGTGAGAATAGTGTACTCAGTTGTTTGTTTTATTTATGTTAAAGTTGTATTAATCTAATATCGATTTATCTGTTGGAATTCTAGGGACTTTGCATGACCTATGCGTGCTTTTGTTTCAACAATCGTTCGGGCATAGGAAACATTTATTGCAATCACGTCGTATTTTGTAGTATTCGCAGAGTATCGAAACTGCGGCCGTCCGAATGAAGAATGATGACAGTAGCGAATCATCGGAGGACGATCGGACTGGCATTTTAATTAAAGTCGGTGCGTATGTCGAGGAATTTGCAATAACTCCGAAGGGCATAACAAAAGGGATTTTTTTTTTCCCATCAAAACAACTGTGGTCCGGAATGCGGCAAGGGGTGCGTTTCTCGCGTGCCCCGGATGCAGAACATCTGTTGCTGAACAGCGAAAAGTAATTTTTCACCCTCTCTGTCGTTTATGCACACACACACACATACATACACACCCTTCCGATTGCTAGTTTTTATATACAACTTACTGCCTCAGGACCGCCAAATCTTACTACCCTAGCTACGCACATTAAACACGGTATGTGTGTGTTTTATTGTTTATTATTATTATTTTTTTTTTTTAAGTATTTTAATGTCCGCGAAAGGCGTTCCATAAATCCTTAACAGACCTATTCTTTGCCGACTCGATAATTTTACTTATATGTGAGTTCCTTTTACACTAGGAAATGAAGATTTTTAAAAAACGATCTACATTTTTCATATTACATGTCTTTCTCTAATTTATTTTTTATCACAACTTATGGAACAAACATGTATTCCGCTATTAGAAATGTTAATTTTACTAGTAAATTAAAAAAAAAACTTATATCCTATAATTTTTTTATAGATTCAGTTACTATTTTCCAAAAATAAATAAAGTAAAACTATGAGCCATAACATTGAGTTTAATCTAATAAGTATTTATAAGTAGTTAAATTTATATTGTATGTTTTTTAATATCCCATTGTCCTATAATTTATTAACAATTTATAAAATAATATTTTTGTTACTGTAATAAGTTTAAAATAAAATGTTGCTTATACTTAACATAGATATAATAAATTATTTAAAATATCCAGTGAAATTTCTAACAGTTTTTCGGAAACTTTTAATAATATTACAGAATAGTAGAAATTTAATTGTCGATTGCCAGGCGTCGTTTTTCATCACTCTAAATTTATTGTAACATATTTTATTTAAAAAATATTTTATAAATACATTAGCGACTAGTCAAAAAAGACACATTATCTTATTTTAAAATATAAATTGTAGTATATGGTTTGACATAAAAAGTTCCCCAACAAATGATGCTAGTCGATCTAAATTACAAAATACTTGAACTTAGTGAAATACGATATCATAGTAATTTTAACACTAAGCCTAGAAAAAATTAACGTGAAAATCATCGATTCTCGGCGAATAAACGGATATGAGGACTTTTGGTATGTTTCAACAAATAAAAATCGAGTTAAAACGCACATTTAATTTGAATTTTTTGTTAAATAATTAATCTACTATTAATTGATGGGAAATAAATATTAAGCGTAACACATTTATATCACACTTTTATTTATAATAATTGTATATAATCAAATCGTTGATAGTGGTAAAGAAAATCGTACCACCTTGATTATTAATGTACACCCAAAGAAAAACCTCAATCAAAATTGAAAGAGAAATTTTATCAAGGGTTTATGATAATGTTTTATTAATACGAACAAAATAACTATTCTTATAAATAATTATTGTTCAAGACAAGTAAAAAATATATCATATTGATAAATATATCATTGATTCAATAGTAATGATATATTTATCAAATTGAACAATGAATTTATTATATAGATCGAGGTTTTTCTCTGGGTGTAGGACCTAATTTAGATATATTCCGTAATTTAACGGTACCAGACTTTGGCAATTTTAACGTTTGACACGGCATACAGTAAATGTTCCAAATAAAGACTTTTAGTGTCTTTTAACTCCTAGAGTCAATATTCAACAGTAAAAACTTGAATAGATTTTTCTTGACTATTATAAATACGATTTCCAAACTTAAATTGTAATTATCATATTTTGATACCCAAAAAAAAAAAAATGTTGGACGCCCTTGTTGTACAGATCATCGCAGTAAAAATGTTGTGTTAATCTGATAATAAAAGAAAACAAACCTGTAAGGATACAGATAAAGTGAATCGTCAATAAAGAGGGTTAAAATATTTTGCGCTGGTAATTTCCATATGGACGACTGAATAATCAGCGGTTATGCGATTTAAATCGACGGGCACGTGCTAGTTGGCTCACACGAATGCTTATGATGGAGATTTTATCCATTAGGAGGGACCAGGTCGGGCAGCGGTGATTTGTTGTTGCAAACAGCATCCCTCGTCCGCCACCGACACTCAAACAGACTTCTACGATGGATTTTTAACGGCTCGTTGGATAAAGCTTAGCATTAATTCAGAACTACTACTCTTTACTTCGGCCTTTGCTGTAAACTAAAAAATCGTGTTGTCTAGTGTATCTTTAGTAATTCATTACAATACTTTTTTTTCAGAAATCTCTCCGGGGGTGATAAGATCGACAAATATTTGTCGTTTAATTATTAATATATCAAGAAATAATAAAATCATAATAATTATTTCCATAAAATAAATATAGTTAGTCACATTATGATACTGGTTTTTATTCTTTACGTTTTCGTATCATCTAGTTACCCATGAAAAAGTCAAAAATACAGTTTTAAAAGAAGATTGCATAATACTTTCATCTGAGCAACATTTGTGTCAAAGTATCTCGTCGAATTAAAAATTTCCCAAGATGATAAATATTTCGGTGAAATTGACCAACTAGGATTTACTAAAGGTTACTCAAGTAACACTCTTAGGTAAAGATTATTACACGAGCTTAAATTTCAAATAATTTCATTGTAGATAGGATTTTGTATCAGACTCGCTCTGTAGGTAGAAGAATTGTCAAAACATTAATATTTAATTAATCACTTGACAATATTCGTACAGTAGGAACTTAGTATTTATAGTCACGATCAAATAATAATCATAATAATATTAATATTTTCACAACTTAGATCTAAAAAAAAATATTTTTTTCTTGAATTTTTTTTTTTGGAATTCTGGTAATAATTTAAAAATGTCAATATTTTTGTATTATTTTAGTTTACGCGCTGAAACAAATTGATTAATTTTTTTGCTACTTTGTTAGGTGAAATGCGCGGGTTCGTTTGGTTAAAAACACGTGTCATTTGTTATTCACGGTACGTGTCAATAGCGGTAAAAAAAATCAATTAATCATGACGTGTAAATAAAAGACACATTAAGCTGGGCAGTAAGTAGTCATATTAATATAAAAGAGGGGTGCCACGGCAAGACCTGACAATAATCCGGACCAGAGGAGGATGGATGAACTACACACCGCCTTCGCCAGGGACTTTGGGAGTACTTTGGCACTATAAAAGAGGTTTTGGTTTTGATAGTCTAATAAATTACTCTTCACCCCATTCCACCATAGTAGCGGTAACCCTCATCGACGAGGATTTGGGTAAGATTGATGGGAAAAGATAAATACAAAAAAATAGCGGAGTCCAAAAAAGATAGCACGAAAGGAAAAAATCCTACCACACTTAATACTCAAATATTTCACTTACCGGTATCGTTCTATTATCTGTTATAATGTTTAGTAGATCATATGACAAAAAATAATAATAATCGTATCATATGCTGAAGCATGCGTTGAACTTAAAACATCACCCTCCAATGTATTACTATGTTCACAAAAACTTTTAAAGCTTTTGTGACATGTATACCCGTATAAATATTAGATAAACATGATAATCTGGTCATTCTCAATACAAATCCTTTCAATATGATCCATAATTTACAATACTATAAGATAAAGTAAGATAGAGTACGAAATTCAACAACAAAAAGTCATAATAAAATTATATCTTATTTTAAATTAAATTATTCTAAGAATCTTTAAACCTACTGATTTTTTTTTTATACATTTTTATGTTTGAAAACAATATTAGTTTATATTCAATAACGACAATTATTTATATTCTTTAAAAACTATAATATCAATAAGGATTTAATAAAACGAATTTCAATAATAATCAGTGCCTCTCATTAAGAATTAAGGGAAATTGTATATTTGTGAAAAGATAGATAATTTTATCACGAGAAAAAAAAAAGAAATTATCAATTTTAATTCAAATAGGAAAAAAGCATAACGTGATAACAATAATATATTTAATCATTTCATTATAGATTTTCGAAAAAGAATGATTATTTATAAAGAGCCTACATTTTTCTATGGGGTTGTTAATAACCGTATTATTAGAGTAATTCACATCTCTGATACATAAAATTTGTGTGTAATATTTTTTTATTTATAAGTATTTTTAATAATTATGAATATATTTACTAAGAAATGACAGATTTTTTTATAATTAAGCTGATACAATTTATCCTTGAAATATTAAAACTATTTTGTGATATCTTAAATTATCTAAATAATTGCCAAGCCCAATTCATATAGCACATTTGACTATTTTGCCAAAAAGCTGAAAAATTAGGTCAGTAGAGCGTTAGGGCGTGTATAGAAACGCCTACTTTTGAGACTCGAACAATCAAAAAAATTAACCGTCGGTTTTCGAGAAATAGCATTTATTGAATTTTCATAAAACAAAAAAAATAAATAGAATTGTTACTTATTTAAGGTAACATCCGAGTCAATTAAAACAAGGAATAATGAATTAACTAATTTATTTCTAAAAATTAACTTCTTTGGTCATTTTATTATCAAAATTAGACTTTTTTCGTGATTGAAATTCATTTTAGAAATTTATTATACATAGTGATTTATTATAACATTTTTAAGTTTCCAGAAGTGTAAGTCTTTACAAACAAGGAAACATTTGTGACTTTGTTAGTTAAAGTTGCACATTAATCTCTACCAGTTCACCAACTACCCTAAAATAGTAAAAAAAGCTCCTTTTTTTTATCGTTTTTTTCATTGTACTATCATTTAGTATGACACAAGTTTTACAAATTAATCTTACAGAAAATTCAAAGTAATAATAATATTAATTGAATTCCGGTAATAATAAGCATATAGATTTTATAAGAGACATGCATAAGTTTTATAAAATCGCTTACCGGTATAATGAAGTGAAGCTACATCTTTAGGCAGTTGGTATTTGGACGGTTCGTCAGGTTTAGAATTCATTATGGCTGTTGTGAGCTGTAACCAGAAAAAAGAACAACCTAAAACAGACTTTTTTTGAAAATGCTATCGAAGTTTATATATTTATAATGATAAAAATAGGGAATTATTTAGGAGTAAAATAATGAATAAAAAATAATAATAATATCAATAATCATATACGCGTGCTTTTGGTAAATGCTTGTACACGTTTATATTATTGGCATGCAGTAAAGTGGCGCATTTGTAAAATGAAAAAAAATGTATTTAAAAATATCAACGGGTTTGATAGGAATATTTTTCTATTGTTTATAAATTACCAGTTATTCTGAAGTGCTTACAGTTTTGGCTACACGTTTGAGTTTTACAACGCGGCGGTAGTCGGCAGTAGAGTCGGATAGAGTTTGCCTCGCAAAGGCAAAGCTCGATGGCAAACACGCTGAAGTTGTCGTTTTGGGTGCTGGCTGTGCGTAGGCGTGAGAGGTAGCTGGGCCGAGCGCCCGCCCAGGAACTTCCGTACCCGTACCACTACAGTACGGCGTGTGCGTTATCATTATCCGTAAGGTCTATTGATTAGACAGGGTCGCACCTACATAGCTTTGTAAGGGATACGCTAACTGGTGGTAGGCATAGTTAAGTACATCGTCGCTTTTGCCAAATATTTCTTCGCACTTGAGCAGAAAATACAATAATTTTCAAAGAGTAGATGAGCAAGGTATTGTCGTTCGAAATTATTGTAACGATTTTAATTATTAATAAACAATGGCTTGTTTATATTATAAAGCAAATGGATAATTTAGCACATTAAATAATTGGCTTTTCGATAATTATAACCAAAGAAAAGCTATTTCGCAAATTATTAAAATACGTAATAATATTACTATAATTATCTGAATACGTAAAATACAATAAACTAAACTTTATTCATTAGATGAACTAAGATTTTAATTTATTTTATAATTATAAAAAATTAAAAATAATTTTATAGCAAAAATATCGCAGGATAATTAGAATTTGAGTGTATATTGCTACAATATAAATGCTTCACTAATAAAACACTTTGGTTACAACTGAGATGGTATAAATATTATGGCCTATCAGGATTTCTTAATGTAAGGGAGCCATAGTAAAAACCCAGCAGAGGGGGGTTGTGGCATAGTCGGGTCAAGTATAATGTTATCTGACAGTGATTAAAATCACTATCATAAAAAAAGCAAATCTTTAGATAGTGTTTAATTTAAAAAAATTGGTGGATTATTCCAAAAGCTTTCTGATCTGCTATTCTGATTAAGATAAAGTATGTCGAATGAAAGAGGGATATAAATATTATTTCTCATAAAAAAATTGTATTGATCCATACACTTTTCAATAAGTTATAGAATTATAAAGTTAAAAATGTAAAATACAAAATCGAGAATTTTCACACAAAAATATTATTTGGTAACTATTTTCACCGTGAAGACAAAATAAAGTCCGAAATTTTTTTTTTCATAATAAAGTATATTACGCTGTCTTTAATTTAAGATATTTATAAAAGTGTCAGTATTTCTGGAACACTTTCAAAAGTTAAGTAGAAAAAGTGATTTTTTTGTGAAAAAGTTGTCATTTTGAATCTCCCCCTGTTAGCAGGTAAATGGTCAGATTTATAAAAAAAAGTATACTAAATGAAAAGAAAGACATTATAAATCTATAAAAAAATTTTTTATTGATTTAGTTATTTTTAAAAAACTTATGGCAGTTTTAAGTAAAAAAAACGGTAGCACAGTGGGGTCGCGGCATAGTGGAGACATTGCATAGTTGGGTTCAGTCTAGATTTAATCTGACAGTGATTAAAATCACTATCATAAGAAACGCTTCGATGCAAATCTGTAGATAGTGTTTAATTTTAAAAAATTGATGGATAATTGCAAAAGCAACATCAACTTCTATTAAAATAAAATACAAAACCCATAATTATCATACAAAAATAGTATATTTTTCAATATGGTAGCCATTTGCGTATAGAAGATAGATCGTCGGGACAAATTTTTTTTTTTCATTTTGTAGTACATAAAATAAGCTTTAATTTTATATATGTTTAAAGGACGCAGTAATTCCGGAACATTATCAAAAATCAAGTTGAAAAAGTTATTTTTTGTAAAAAAGTTACTATTTTAAATTCCCTCAGTGAGCAGAATAAATGTTAGATTTTCAAAAAAAATTATATCAAATGAAAGGGAAATATCTAAGGTTTCAATACAAAAAAATATTATTTTTATTTGTTCATTTTTGAAAAAGTTATGGCAGTTTTAAGTACAAAAAACATCCCGATAAAATTGAAAAAATGTCGAAAATTAGCGTTTTATAAATTTGTAATTTTTTTGTAGATTTCCCCCATTTACGGTGAACGAGGGCAATTTTTTCAATTTTTGAGGATAATGTCTTCGACTAGATACGATTTGTGATTTTTTAACGTATCGTTGAAAGAAATCGGTTCGGTAAGAGCTGAGAAAAGTTGTATCAGACACACACAAAAAAAAAAAACACATCATAGTATAACCAATACCTTCTCAGCTTCTATCGGAACTAAAAAAATCTTACACAAACCTATATTTTTACTAAACACTTCATTTTGAGCCAAATATTATGATCAATGGAAAAAGTTCTAATTAGAATTCAAACTTGTACTATTTAAAATATTAACAATAAAATGTTAACGACGCAAATGTGAAAGTTTATTTTTTGCTGTAATTATATAACTACATAATTTCCAAAAATATTTCTGCGATGTAAAGTGTATCAATTTTTTTTAATTAAAAAGTTCTCAACTTTATGTTTAACCAAACCGTATATTTCATAATACTAATTTTTAAATTTGACATTTCAACCGTTTTACATAATTTGTCATCGGATATTATTAAACCTGTTATTTTTCATACTATTCTCGATTTTATTTGAATATAAAATCAAAATTACGAGTGTAGGACTGTTTCCAGCTAACTCAGAGTTAAAAAGAAGTAAGTTGAAAAATACGCAATTAGGAGGTTGTTGTTGATTACATTTATGTTTAAAAAATATAATTAATGAGAGTATTTGTATTCGTTTTATTCCTCTGCTCACAATCGTAAATAGTATTGTACAATAAATTTCGGAAAATTTTGCATAATGCTCAATATATTAGTGTATAGAATGGGGTTTGCTTAAGATGCACAGTTGTCGGCTGCTGGCCTTTATTGAATGTTTCATTGTTAACATAGAGCGCGTTTAAAATTCCGCATAGTGTATAATCGATATTGTCGTCGGCGGATGTAGCGAAATTCCTAAACGACTGAGCAGGCAAAGTTTTGTTATCTGAATATAAAAAAAAAAGTCAACATCGATGGCTGTAGGAAGGCGTTTCGGATAACGTTTGACCTCATTTATAAAGTCCGCCTACGTCGTGTTTGACGCAAGCGCCTGCCAAAAGCTATCCACATTTGGGATGCGATATTGTTAGTAATACAGGCATAGGAATAAGTGCAAACAAATAATAGTGGTATAGGGATGATATTTCCTAATTGGATGTAATAAGTCACATTGTTTTAAAAATAAGGAGGATAAAACTGTATCCATATGCTCGTAAATATATATGTGTAAGACAAGTCTACACTAATATTTAAACATACAATACTTGATATTCCTTTAGAGTGGTTTCGTGAGTGAAAGGTTGAGAGTTTTTCTTCTTTTAAATTTCTTTATTAGTTTATAATTTAATGTAAAAATCATAAAGTTGATAAATATTTGTATTCTAAACAATTCTCTAAAATAGTAGCGTTAAAGTAATAATAATTCTGGTATAATAAAAATTTTAATCAATTTTTGTATGTTGAAAATTTTTATTTTCCAATTGTATGTTATAAATATCAACATAGGAGTGTTCATTTAACGATGTAACATTATAATCTAACAAAATAAATGAAATTTTAATTTTGGCGTTTATGCATTAAGTAAAACATAAAATGAAGCATTTTACTTTTCTTTTTTGGGGTAACCATTTTATATATCATTCATACATTAACTCTTTAAAAACAAATGTTATTCATTTTATAATCAATTTTTTTTAATTATTTCAGTAGTTAGAATTTTGTGTCTTCATAAATATCAGTAAATGATATCTTAAGGCTTCTTATTGTATCGGATTATTAATCGGTACAAATCTGTGTTTTTCCCTAATGCCGATAATAGTTTTACACAATTTAAATCTCATATTAGGCTTTTTTTTTCGTTTTTTTGTACAGATTATTTTTACAATATTGTCATAACAATTTTATTTATTTTTTATTTTTTAAATAAAATAATGAATTGAATAATTATAACATAACATATATAATAATTACATTGAATCGTAATATATAATAATATAAAATTCAATTACAAAAATGTGGTTTGAAAACAACAAAAACCTATCATAAAATTATTTGATTTTAAGGGGCCTTTTACTGATTTTCTAATGCTAAATTTTATGTTGTTTTAAACAGATGCATAACTAAAAAATGTTTAAAAAAATGTCCCAAGACAGAAATAATACATCTAGAATACGTGTATTTTTATAAAATTTCAGACTTTGTAGTTCTTTAAATCCCAAGAAAATTGTTTTAAACATTTGAAATTTAGTTCAAACATAGATTATACACTATAAAATACCACAACTGAAAATCACTATAAAATAATAACTTCTTAATGGTTTTAGTTGTACTCAAATTTACACACAAGAGCCCTATTTATAGAAAGTCATAAAAGTTTAGAATTTCACAATTTTTTTGTTTTTAATGTAAACTAAGTTAAAATAAGGTCCATTCAAAGATTTTAATTCGATTAAGTTAATAATGAATGTGGTGGTCGTACAACCACTTCTGGATGATTTGACATGGATTGACCCAAGTGAGTAAATTGAATTATCCAGTTGCAAAAGGATGTTTTTTTTGGTAATATTGCTTTTCATAGATGAATAAGTTTACAAATAAATTGAAAAAGCGAAATTAAATAAATTGAAAACGTATTTTTCTACAACCGGATAATTCATTTATTAACTTTTAAATAATATTTTGATTATTGAATTAATTATAAGACTCAATAAGGAAATACAAGTTTACTTTTAAAATGAACTCAACAACATATCAAATATAAAAATTGCCAAATAATATCTTATATACTAAGTAATTGATTAACTATGCCTCAAGTAAATTACGCCAGGCCTGTCGATAGGGAGGGAAAAAGAGAAACTTTTTAAAAAAGAAACAAAAATTATTGGCAGTTGAGACATTACAATAAAATTATAACAACGAATATTTAGTTTTTCACACCTTTTTTAATTTTCATAAAAGACAATTTCACATCAAGTTGTTTTCCTTATGACACAATTTTTCCGAATATTTGTCCCACTGTATTTTGTACCTTGTCAGATTCAGTTGTTAAAAGGAAAGCTGAAAGGAGAACAGCACAGTTCTAGAGCGTACTTTGAAGAATTAAAAATTTCCATTTTGAACGTTTTTAACACTTTACTATAATGACTGGAGGCAAAGTGTGGATCTATTAATTTTTATAAAAGTAGAGACATTAACTTTTGAAAAGAAAAAAAGTAAGATATATTTTTAAAGATCTTGCGTAAGTTATAGTTCATCTATTACGATGCCTACATATACAGATTAATTTATTGAGAATTCTAACCTCTAATCTTCTTTAAAAAACGATTAAAGTATATTAAATTTTGTATTGAAATGTCAAAAATTAAATGGGAAACTTTTATTATTTTTATAAAACACAACGGAGAATAAATTCAATTCAATTTTGACTGATCAATAACTAGTTTTATTCTATAACATTTTAAGGTATAAGAATTTAAAAATGTTGAATAAGTGAGAAATAGGATAATGGTCCGACGACGCTCAATTTTTACCTTAATGCATAAAAATAACTCTTCTATGTTGGACAACCTATCGCCTATAAATAAAAATTAAAATCTTTATAACACAAAATTGGTTATTGCCTAGACAAAATTTTATTTAGACTATTTTACTAATCTAATGGCATAAAAATAATACAAGGTTCTCATTTAAAATTTGAAATTTACACTTAAAATCTACCATTAAAAATTAATTTTCTCACAAAAACATTTAACATTTACTATGTTTTATGTATAAAAATAAATAATGATAATATTGTTTTAAAAATGTAATGAAAGTTCTTTAAAAATTTAGTCTGAATTAATAAATCAAATGTTTAATTTCCTTTTTACTTTAAAATAATTTTAAACTTAATATAACTAATACTATAAATCCTAACGATTTTATATCTTAAACATAGTTATTATATCTGAAATGACTCTTGGTATTAAATTATCTATCCTAGATTGGAAGATAAATTTAATCCGTCATAAAATAGTTTCCTATGTACCCGTATATTTTCTGGAAAAGTTTTAAAACTTTGCGTTATCGCGTTTATTTTCAGATGAACATAATTGTCTAAGTTTAAGTTACAAAACTTTTATCTATAAGAAATTGTTTTGAGAATAGTCGTAATTGTTTAAATTAAAAACAGTATTCTAGATTTTGTATATTTTTAAATTTAATAACAACATGATTGTGATATATTTATGTAGAAAAAATATAATTCAGAGCAATTAGACCTTATTATATTATTTAATTTGTAACTGCGATTATTATAAAAAATCTGAGTACAGTGGGGTCGTGGCATATTAGGGACAAGTATAGATCATATCTGGCAGTGATTTAAATCGCTCCCATAAAAAACGCTTCCATGAAAATATGTTAAATTTCATAGTTTGTATTTTTGTAATTTTACAGTTTCTATAACTTAAATTTACATTCGAATATTAAGTGCTTGTTAAATTATTAGCTTCGATGCGAAGCGGAGAAGGTATTAATTTTACTATGATGTGTTTTTTTTTTTTTTTTTTTTTTTTTTTTTTTTTTTTTTTTTCCTT